TTAAGTGAGGTATATGAAGTCTTTAGCGTTTTATTGTATTAAACACAAGGACTTTGGTAATTGAAAAATAGAGACCGATGTGTATGTTGCCGGTTTGTGATTTTTAGTTCAGTTAATGGGGCGGAGTGTGACATTTACATATATACATTGAGATGTTTTAGAGTGCATAATGTTCAGTGTAATGGTGGCTAGTTATGAACGAGACGAGCCTTGAGTTTTGAAACAGTTCATGAGTAAGTATACTATGCAAATGGCGCGGGATATTTTTATCTTTAGTTAATTACAAAGGTAACTTGATACTTTTGTTTTTCACGAGGAGTAAATTCAATTAGAGGTCACAAATCAGCGCTTCTAGTTCTTAGTACACGTTTTAGAGGAGAGGAGACTATTTAGATTTGAGGCAGTTCCAACGTTTACCATAGTAAGTGCAGGTAATGATTGTTTTGTTCTTGTTGCATGCAAATATAACGAGATATTTTTAATTTTTAGTTACAAAGGGTAATTTGACATGTACTCTTGTTTTTCACAAGGGAGTAAATTCAATTAGAGCTGACAAATCGTCACCTTGTTCCCACGAGATGTTTGCTATCTTAGTTACAAATGGTAACTTAGCACTTTTGTTTTTATATGGGAGTAAATTCAATTAGAGCTGACAAGTTATCAGCTATTGTTCCCAGGATATTAAACAAANATGTTCTTTGAAGACTGCAGTGTGGCACGAAGTTAAAGTGCAATTTAATTAAATCAGACTTTCAACGTGTCAGAGAGGTTTTTTTTCTCTTTCTTTCTATTTTCGGTGAAGTAGTGTTGTTTCGTTGTGTTTTGTAAGAAGGGTAAACTTATGACTTGTATAAAATGCGAAAGGTTCTCTTAACTTGAGTATTTTTGAGCAAAAATTCTTCTTGGGGGCTGGAAGGGCTCCCGAGGGGGTACTCCCAGAAAAATTGGGTTTGGGTGTGCGGCCCGCTTCCCAAAACACTTACCCTATTTATGACCAAAATCTGCGATATTCCTTACCCTATTTAAGACCTGACCGAAAATTCGAAACCTTATTTTCGCCCTGACCCTTAAATCAAAACCCTGTTTCAGACCTGCGTTATAATTAGCTCCCTAGTTCAAACCAATGTTAAATTACTGTAAACATATAGATTTGTGAAGGGCTTCTGTTGATTTTCTTTTCGATAATGACGAAAAAGTGGCCTGTTCTTAAAGCATATCCACATCAAGGCTAGAGTGCAAAAACCATACCCTATTTATGACCAAAATCAGCTACAATCGATACCCTATTTATGACCAAAATGGCTGAAAAACCATACCCTATGGGGCCGCACATACCTATATAGCCCGTAGAAGGGCTATGTGATTGGTGAGTGAGGGAGTTATGCATGTGCACGTGTCACACCAATTACAGTGTGGGTTGTATCAAAGAACGAATCAAATTGCCTGTTAGAAAATAACATGGTATCTACATTAATCTGGAGACGTGTCAGATTACTGTAGTTTGTTCAGTCAAACATTTTATGTCTTACTATTTAGTTATCTTACCATTACTGATGTAACATCGTATGTACATCATAAATTCTCAGTGTCTTTTTTGCTGTACATCGCAGCCAAAAATACTTGTCAACTCAATCAAATCATTACTGTAAACAGTTCCATGAATGCTCCTATCTCTGAGACTTACAGTTCACAAAAAAATTACTCTTGCACGCCTTGCATGCCTATGTTTTCTCCCAGAGTGCATTTTGCTTCCACCGGAGAATAAATCGTGCTTTACATCATCCAAAGGAATGCCGTATGCCAGCATCAAGCGATGACGTATATACTGCTTAATAAAAAGAATAAAATTAAAAACAACAACAACAACAACAACAAAAACAAAACAGTTTTCCTGCAATTACTTACATTAATGCATAGTCTCATGGCTCACACATAGTTCCAATGGTAAGAGTTAACACTCTCCTTCCTTTTTATTATACAGTTTTTATTACTATTTATTTTCCTTTGTTAACATGATTAAACCATTAATTTATATACTCTAAAATTCATCAATTCCTGTTCCACAATCGGGAGAATTTATGGTATTAATGATGTTATCAAAGTTTACAGGGATCAGTTATATCAACCAGAGGACATATGCCTACTGGTATCCAATGGATAACATTTTCTACATTGCATAAAATCTACATATGGCTCAGCTTGTAAACACAATATTTTATGTACTTGAAAAGCAACCTGTCCCTTGCACAGGTAGGCCGAACAGACCCTGCATACAAATAGGGAAAACAGATTTTGGTTACGAAGTCCTGCAATGTTTTGAGAAATTAGGTGTCTATTATATGTGTACTCAATATGTAAGACTACATTATTGCCACACATTAAGTTAACTATTCCTAGAAATTGATCCATCTAAATGGTCAAATAAAGAAAGTAGTATGATGCAAGGGATAATTTAAATGTCTCCAGTTACGACACTGAAATATACACCTACAAAGATGATGCCTTAAAAGATGTTTTTTGTGTAGGTTAGCTATACTTTATCTTCAGAATATATTGTTATATTGTAATCTGTAGGTTATGTTCAACAATACTGTTTTATATTTTTACATGTAAGTAATATGTGGATTTAGCCAAGCCTAACCTGAAAGCGGAGCCCCTGGGCGGGGTTGTTCAGAGCCCAATTAAGCTAACCCAGGATAAGTGATAATTTTGATTTGAGTTTTGTAACTTTGTAGTTTAGTGTATATTGTTTGGCCATCTGTTTTGAGCGTGAATAATCTCAAAAGTTATACACAAAACAAAACCAGTGAAACACATTATTTTGTATACAAGAAAAATGTATTATTTGGTTAAATTTTTATCCTAGGTTAGCATTGACCGGCCTCTAAACAACCCAGACCTGCCTCCAAGTTAACCTGACATGAACCCGTGATCCTATCGAAAACCAGCACTTGGTCAGCAACTTAAAAAAAAAACGGGTCACCTTGATGAGCTCTAAACTTGAGCCCGCAATATGGTCAGGTGATACTAGTTGGTGGATTCATTGTTTTGATAGGTGTCAGTTGACCAGAACATGGAAGTCCAATGTCAAAGAAGAACAGTATAAACCAAGGTTACATGTCTGTCAACCTATTAACTGAAGTATGGCTGCCACCTTGGGCAACTCCACCATCGTCGTCATGCGTACGTGCCCACGAGCAATACCACCAGCCATGATAATCATGAGAAAATCAATTGATGGGTTTCCTTTTCTTTCCTATACGAGTACTCTGCTTGACAGCCCTTTGGGCTGCCAGAGTTCTGCGACGAACACCCAGACAATGTTGATCAAAATTTGAAAGCCATTTATCTTAATGAGGCATTTCTGAATAATGCAAGTCAGATGAAGACATCCTGTTTTGATACCAATTGACCCTAACTGAACTGGGGTCTTAGTAATTCTAATTTAAATCAATGGATTTTAAAATCTCAAGCAAGGAATGCATGATACAAACTTACAGAGCAAACTAACTTATATTAAGTGTATATGAAACAAGACTGACTTTGAGTTACAACTAACAAATTGAGATCCAAAACATCTGAATCTTGAAATCAGAATCGCAGGTAGTAAGTTACTTTTCCCAAAGAATACCTACATATACGTGTTGAAACAGGTATGACTTGATAGTGGGTTAATTAATTATTTCATATCTTCTATTATAGAGAAAAACAATTTCATTGAGTGTGGCATTTGCCAGACTTAATACTACAAGAGTTATTGTTAATTCATGGGTTAACTAAATACGTTCAGCAGAATACAATTGCATATTTTGGTATCATGTATATAAACAATGTTCTGCACAGCTGGAAATCCCCATCAACAATACTTGGTGTTGTTGCAACTCGTCCACAATGTTTGTCCATCAAAGTACTTGGGCGTGAGACCATAAAAAATGTCTTGTGGAGTTCTTCTGGGTATTGTAAGTTAAACTACAGTTGCTTTTGATCTTGGTGTTGCAACTGAAAGATGGTATGCAATCATAGGACAGAATAGAAGAAGACCTGTACTGACAATAGCTAGTAAATAGCCCCAAGCAATTTGACATGTCCCTGAGTTGAAATATCCACTTGAAGAGCCACACTGCTGCTTAACAAATTCAGAGTTTAAACCGAATGGGTACAAAATAAGGCTGACTAACAGGAGAACCACTGCAAAAGACAATTATGATAGCATTTGGTAATTGTTAATAACATTTAAATGCATTACCATCAGTAGTAGAAGTGGCACACATTCTTATAACATTCAAAATGGCATGAACAATGGGGACAAGGATAAAGTCATATAAAATAAGTTGAAACTAACACTGGTATATAAGAAAGATAGAAAGCTCCTGACAACCACTACATACATGTGTGTTTTGGAAAATATCCATTCCCCCCACAAAAGGACTTTTGCTGTCAGTCATTTGTTTAGCTTCATTCCTTTCTGTATAAAATTTGGCCCTTGTGCCCCAATTCCTCAAGTTTTCCAATGACCTTCCATGGGCTGGAACTGCACATTTGGAAAATAATATTGTCTCCTTTCAAAATAACAACAGCCAAAGTATGGCGTATAAGTTCATGAGGCATAAGGATGCATCTTGTGCCCTCGAAGTAAAATAACTGCGTAAAGACTACTCAGATTTGGTGAGTTAATTACCTGCAATACTCTGCATAACCCCAGCAATTGCAAAGAGCAATTTTCCACAAAGGAATTTCCGACAACACAAAATGTGCGCCAGCAGTATGGCAACCAACAGGAAAACCAGTGCAAGTGCATAAGTATTGACAGCTACTTTCCAGAACACAGAGGGGATTCCAGGAAAAATCCTGTCATAAAATGAGCAGTACCTTACGTCTCTCCATGCATTTATCTCTTGCAAGGTCACAAATTGCTCTTGGAGGCAAAATCGTAACAGTCCAAATGCTATAAACGACTCACTGTTGTTTGTTGACATGGGATCAGGGATGTATTCATGCCAAAATGGTGAAAATAATGCTATAGAGCATGTGAATAGTAGAACAAGGGAGACAATTGTCCACAACACTGAAATGGCTGACATATCTGCATCAAGAGAAAATAAAAACATTACAATTTTAATGACAAGATTCATTGTGAAATTGTTTTTACAGGAAATTCAACTTAATTCTTCCAACAATGGAATTTCACTTTTGTTAATGTTTCCAGATCATGTTATATCTGTGTGTTATACTTGCATGATTCTAATTTGATCTCTAATTTATTTTTGAGCACAAAAGTGTTTCTTTGTTGTTTTGAGTCAAATGAAATTTCTTGACAATTTAGTGGTTTAATTCCAAGAAAAAGCCACCAACATGACATCTAAATTAATAAAACTATAGATTGCAACATTCGCACTTATTTACCGAGGGTTATTAAATTTTCATATACACCAGTGGAACAAACAGCTTTATGTTTTAAGCACAAACGTAAATAAAATCAAGCATTATCACAACATTGAGCAGGATTTACTAAAGCTTGTTTGTGGAGTGACAGGTGGATTAATTTTGGAACACTAAACGATGTTGTATTGGTTTATATTTAATGTGGCCTGTTGCCCAAGGCTTCCTACTCTAAATCGTCTCAAAATTGTTAATTGAAGGCGCTGTGCAAAATAATATTTTTGTAGCTTTGATCTAGAGCGTGCGTGAGCTTGAACAAACAATGAACCATTTGGAAGCACTAAGCATTTTGATTGGTGCATCGATAAAAACCGGAACATGGAACATTCCGGAACATTCCACAACATTGAATAATTATAATAGCACGCTGAACAAAACTGTTCTGGATCGACGTTTTATGACTAAAAATTAAAACAAGCAAAGCGATGCAGTGTAATGTGATTGTTTTAAACCTTATTAAATTCCACACATGGAAAGTTATTTTCATATAGTTCACGCAAAAAAGACTTGCGTTACAGCGTATCTAAATTTGCGGTACGGAAAATTGTGCGATTTCTGAGAAAAAAATAGTTATGGTTTTCATCGACATCATAGTGTTAGACCAGTGTTGTTGTGCGAAGAACATCATTACGTGTTTGTGGATTTTTTGCATGAGTTCCACAAGATGACATAAGGAAGGAGCAATAATCTGTCTGAACAGCACTATAATCCTGTGATGCATCTGCGGTTTAGAGAATCAAAAATTCAAGTTGTGATGCTACCACTGAACGACCACAAGGCAAACCAAACAAAGTTATTTCAAGCTGTTATGCAAGAAAATGCGAGAAAATGGCGAGCTCTTGGTAGATGAGCCCACAAACAGGTCTGGAAATGTTTTTAAAAGCACAAATAGCAGTGTCTGAGGTTCTTGGCTGACGATGCTTTAACACAGCAGTATTCTGTGCAATTGTGACTTGTACGAAGTGCAAGCTAAAGGCAGCTATCTGAAAGATAGAATCAGCAAATAAAAGACCAATCTTGTAGCAAGAACAGTTAAAGAATTCAAAGAAGATAAGTTTCAGAAGACAGTATCGTATTTCAGTGGCCAAATAAGTTGTAAGTCTTTCTCATGCTTTCTTGACAAAATCTTGACAAAAAAATCCACCAACATGTAAAGAGTTCTTTCGCAAAACAACACTCCAAATGTGACTCTTTCTCTTAGAAATCACATGATTTTGCATACTTTTGTGACTCAGTTACCAAATTTGGACGAGGTGTAAAGCAAGCCTTTCTTGCGTGATCGATATAAAAATAAGTTTCCATGTGTGGAATTTAGTTAAGTTTAAGACAATCACGAAATTATATGTGTCACTTTAATTGTTTTAATTTTTTGTTGTAAAACGATGATCCAGAATGGTTTTGTCCAGCGTACTAATAAATTATGAGAAAAATATGTAAAATTAAATGTTCAAAAATTAAATTAAAAATAAACTGGTATTAGCTTGGAATAAAAGACACAAAACAAAACAAAACAAAACAAAACAAAAAACATAAAAAAAAGAACCAAAAAAAAAAAGAAAGAAAAATGAAAATGACTGGAACGAGTGATTAGAAGACTAACCCATTCCTTCCAGTCGTTGGCTATCAGTTTAATCACGTGACCGTCCCTTATTCCCAGATTTGGTTCTTCATAGAAAATCACAGGATGGTGGCATTCAAACTCTTTTATCAGGCCAAAAAATATGGGTATACTAGTGTGATTTCTTTATTTAATTCATTACATCAGTTCAAAGATATTTGTTCACATGACTTCTCATGAAGAAATAGTTTCTCCGCGAGATAGAAATAAAAATTCTTCGGCACTGAGTTTCTTGTCTAAACTAGTTTGGACTGCTTGAGCTCTGATAATTTAGTAATAATAACTTGCTTGTTACTCGGGCTTCCAGAAAGGCTGAGTCTGCACTTAGTGGGTCATAGTGCCAGGCATTCTTAGAGGAGAGCACGCAAACCAGGGATGATAATTGCAACATGAAGATGGAACAGTGACAAAAGTATGGCTACTGACTTGACAAGCAACTCTGTATGATGCTCAGACAAACACCGGGAAACCATTGTCTGAATAGTTCATGTTTGTGTTAAAAAACAGATTACTGTAAAGCCACGTGACGCAATTGGCAGGAAAGAAGAGGAGCCTGCACTCATTGTCATCAGTTGAATGAATATCCAATGCTCCCTACCTCTTCCCTACCGACTCTCCTACCTCCAAAAATATATTTTCATATTTCGAGCTCATACCAGTTTATTCTTGTTTATTTTATTTTTGAAAATTTAATTTTACATATTTTGCTCATAATTATTATAATTTTTTGATGTTCCATCATGTTCAGGGTTGTTCCATGTTCCTGGTTTTATCGACGGCCATTTGATTGCTGTACTTTGTCGGTCTTCTAGGTTAATCACAAGAAGCCATTTAGTAGCTTGGACCGTCCATAAAAAACGTGAATTTATTATTCATGAAGTCATTTAAAATATCAACGCATTCAACCAAAGTTATATCGATTCGAAATACAGTTCAACACATATTAAACGGCCACCCTCGGGGAAATGGACAGTGGTCGCTTAAAAGGGGTTGGCCGCTTAATAGAGGTAAAAAAATAGAAAAAACCTCATCGGGACTGGCTGGGTTGGCCGTTTAATAGGTGGCCGCTTAATAGGGGTTCGACTGTATATTTTTTGTCCCAACGATGTATACTTATTTTCAAGAATACAACTTTTCCGCGCGTGCAAAAACTCTGTGTAACTTGATTGTTACTCGCTTTCATAATGTGGTGGTCAGAGGGCAATGTGTGGTGAAAATTTAAGAGTTTTCTCAAGATATCCCGTTAACACGAAACAGTAGGTGCGACAATCAAATCTTCTTTCTCATATTTCATCGAGCCTGTTAGGACGCTTACGAATAAAGACGAATCGAAATACTGCGGGAAACCTTTCAAAGCTAAATGTTACAAACAAGCCACACGAAAATATTGGATGCCGGCACGCGTATTGAAACACAAAATTTTCAGGTAAAGAGCAGTAGGAAGCTGTTGTTTATTTATAAGATGATTACTCTCGAGTGCCTTGTTCCACATACAGCGAAAAGAAAGTGAGAACGATTATCAACGAATCGCATTTGCACGCATGAAAGACTCTTAACTGTATAACGGGTGTCTTGAAGCTAAATTTACGTTTAGCTCTCGTTAAGTTACAAATTTAATGACGTCTTTGATGCGACCTCGAATATGAGCCAGAAATCGACACTTGAGCGTTTCGCAAACATTGAAATAATGGAATTTCAGCAACTGGATGGGAACCCGCAAAGTGGTGAAGTACCCTAAAATACTGGATACGAAACGCTTAAAACAAATCAACACAGATAAGTAGAATAAACTTAACTGGACGAACCTGCAGACTGAACACAGCTGACGAGCGAGACTGGCGAATTACAAAAGCAATCAGTGTCAGCAGCCGTCCGTATGCGTCGATATCCTTTTAATTACAAGTCTTGCACAACAGGCTCACTCACCCGCGCGACAGGGAAAACAAGACCGTTCTCAATGTAAGCTTACTTTCATCATTGAACAATCGAGATCTATTGTGGCTTTCTGAAATTCGCGGATTTCCGTTCAGGTTGCCACTCAATTTTGATCAAAGATGTTCCCGCTACGAACCTTTTGTTCCGCGAAGACAGAGGTCACTGCGACCTGTCATCTTGATAATATATCTCGTTCTCACACACTCTTTGTTCTGGCAGTCTTTTCAAGTCCTCCCCAATTATTTTGACCGAGAGAATTCCGAACTCGGCCCAGTGGTACGTAATTTGCTCCCGCGTTCAATTTGATGGAGGGCAGCAGTTTATATTTCGAGAGTATCAATGGCTGTCTTCGAAAGACAACAAGGCGGAAATCCCCACATTTCCAAACGTTTTCTTCGATGAAGACAACTTTATCCTCTGCTTTAAAGACTGAGCATTATTTGCCAAGAATATTGAAGAGATTTGTTTGATCGAATGCTGCGATTTTCACGGAAACCATCAGCCACAGGTAAATGCACTGTGCATGCATGCAATTAAATAAATACTGTACACAAGTAAAGTAAGCTAAGTTATCAGCTTTCCGAAGGAGGTTTTCCATGTTACCAAACTTTCTTGCATAACGTCCAGCAAGTGCATTTTGTCTCACTCGATACCTTCCTGTGTATCAATTAATATCAAGGTCGGCATTAATTTAAGGCTTGCATGCTTCTTTAACGTGCATGTACATGTGTTGTGAACCGGCCTCTTTTCTATTCACTGTGAACATTAGCAAAAACAGTCCGTCATTTTTTTGATTTTGATTTAAAAATGTGACATCTCTATAATGATTATACAGTATTTCAGCCAGAAAATTTTACTTGAGTGCCAAAGTGGTCCCTGAAGACCTTTTTTAGGGGCCAATTTTTTAGGAAAGGGACCAATAAATTGAAAACTACAAAAGGAAAAAATGCATCAGGGTACCAAGGAAAATAAAGTAGTTTATAAGGATCTATGATAAAATTTAATAAGTGCTTTTTGAAGTGTTTCTACTCAATAAAGTTTCTTTTGAATTAGATACTAGTATGAAGGATCCATGCATTACAAGAGAGCAATCCTTAGGCATACATAAAGTAGTCAATGATCAAGGGTTTGCAATGCATTGTAGGGTGATGAGGATTAATACTGCAGCAAAGCAAAACGACAGATTGACTTCTATTGTTATGTTGAATGTTTTAGAAGCAAAGATCTTTCAATATGATTTTCTAGAAAGACATAATGTGTGACAAAATAGCCATTATTGATTGTCAACACAGAGAAATGTAGTTCGCCATTATGGCGACTAAACCAGAAATTTTGGTTGCCAAGAATGAAATGTTAGTTGCATCGGCAACCGTATCAGTCGCAACTTTGAGCCCTGGGATGGCTTTTAAAACACTATGCCTGTGTTAAACCCGAAGTCTTGTAAAAGACTTCTCTCGTTTTCCTTTTCTCGTTTTTTCTGGGGGCCATCTCTGATTGCAGCGTGGGATTCCTGCAATAGCACGCTCTGGCGGAAACACTGATTATAACACTAATTTTTTTATATTGTTAATATTATTATTTTGTACAACAGTACTACAACTACTAATTACAGAAGTGATAACTATTTACAGCAGTAATACAACTACTAACACTACTTACTCTAATTAACAATACGATGCAATTACACATGCTACTCACAATACTAAAAGTTGCATAATTTACTCTACAAAACAATACATTTAACCTTTTTAAGTTACGATACTAATACCATTACTGATGCTTCTTACATTCATATTATAACAATAGTAGTATAATAGTATTATAACAATAGTACTGATTTTGCCACTGAGACTGACTATATAATGTAGATTGAATTAATTAGTTTAAATTTCGCATTTTTCAGCTTTCCATTGCAAAGATAGTGCTGACTTCAATTCGAGAAAATTGAAGTTTTTTCCAACATTTTGCAATAATAATAATATTTTTGAGTTTGCACTACTAAAATCCCAAACTTCCGGGTGAGGTTTGGGCTTGTATTTGGGGGAAGATCATAGTCCTTAAATAGTAGCTGTATTTTAGATGGTGTAAAGTTAACTCTGTGTTCATTATTGAACCATTTAAGGACTTTTTGAAAGGAGTTTAGGCCAGCAGGACACTCCAGAAATGCATGTTCCAAGCAATCAGCGTTGTTACAGAAAAAGCAATCTTCACCTTCGGATATTTTGAACCTCTTAAGCTCCTTTTTGGTCACTAAAATACGGTGTAATAGTTTAAAGAAGAATTGTCTCAATTTGTTGTCGGCCAAGAGGTGAGGTATATTTTTGAATAACCTTTCCCATTTATCTTCTATGCCAGAGTAATGTTGGGCCCAAGACTTGACAGCTGTAGGTGTAACCTCTGATTTTTCTTGGAACAGAAGTTAGTAGTCTTTGCATTTCATTTTAGAGAGAAAAACCGATTTTTCAGTGGAAAAGTCAAAAAAGTCAGAATTATCGACAACAGAATTCTTAGGTCTTAGCGTAGAAGAAGCCTTGGATTTGAGGTTTGGTGGAATAGATGCAAGGATTTGAAAAAAGTTGAAAAAATTTGTTGACATATTGTACCTTCAATTGAATTCTTCAAAAGTAAGAAAATTACCATTTTCATTAAAAATATCATAAATGTAATAAATTCCATTTTCGGTCCACCTCTTCCAAAAAAGCAATTTGCCTTCAATGGTTATGTCTTGGTTATTCCAAAGAATAAGGTCACTTTGGTAGCTATCTTGGTTGACCTGGCGTAATTCCTTCAAGTAATCTAGCATTTCTAAGTAGAATAACGATACACTTTTGTCTAACTTCTTTGTATTGTAATTGCACTTGAGTAAGAAGTTGAGACCTCTATACTTATCGAAAAAAGCATTTGGAATAGCTTTCCAAGCATCAGTAGAAGGGTTTTTTTCTAACAGTCTTCCGATCTAGCTTAAACGGAGCGCTTTAACTGTTACAGCAAAATTTGGAAAATTAAGACCACCTTTTCTCGTTTCTTGAAAAGGAACTTCTCTTTTAATTTTATCTTTTTTGTTTTTCCATAAAAAATTAAAAAGTTTTGTTTGGTCTCCTTTAAGAACTTCTTGTGGAACAGTTAAAATCAAGGCCTTATATACCAATTTTGAGATTCCTAACGTTTTAGTGAGTAGTTTAATTTGGTTTCCATCTTTTGGAGTTTTAGAAAGAAATTCAGGTTATCGTTTTTATCGCTGTCATGTGAAATGTATGTTCCTAGGATTTTAATTGGATCAACGCAGACATTTATTTCAAGGGGTTTAGTTTTACTGTTTTTCAATGAGCCTATCCACAGAGCCTCTGTCTTTTTGCTGTTTGGCTTTAAACCTGATATATCGCCAAACTTCCTCAATACCGACATACTTTCATGCAAGGATGAGGTGTCCTTGCATATTAATGTAGTGTTATCAGCAAATTGACTTAGTTTAACTTCACAGGAATAAGGTAGTTCAATACCCGTAATTTTAGGATTTTGACGTATTTTTTGTGCCAGAATTTCTACGCTTAGAATGAATAATAACGGACTCAGAGGGCATCCTTGCCTTGCGCCTCTTGACACCCGGAAATAGTTAGTCATGTATCCTCCATTAGTAACCCCGCTCTCAACATCACTATAAAGTATCGTGATCCATTTCCGAATGTTTGGGCCAAAATTGAAAAATTTTAGCGCGTGTTGGATAAAAGACCATTCCAACGTATCAAAGGCTTTTTCAAAGTCTATGAACAGCAATATACCAGGAAATTGACTTGATTCAGTGAATTCCATTAGGTCATTTAAAAGGCTCATGTTTTGGCCGATATATCGTGCTTTTACAAAGCCCGTTTGATCTGAGTGAACCAATTTTGGCAGTTTCGGTTCTATTCTTTTTGCAATGGCTCTAGCAAGTATTTTGTAGTTGACATTAAGCAATGTTATTGGCTGCCAGTCACTTAAAACCATAAGATTATTTTCGTCCTTTGGTATAAGCGATATAATTCTTCGCCTCTGAGATATAGATAGCTTGCCTGTTTGAAAGCCTTCATTAAAAGAGTCGATGAGATTTCTCCATAAAAGTTTGAAGTAAGTTTCATAAAATTCATTTGTAAAACCGTTATCACCTGGAGTTTTGCTGGGTTGGAAGCCTTTTAAGGCATTTAACAATTCGTCTTTCGTCAGGTCATGTTCAAGTTCACTTACTTCGTCTTGGCATAATTTTGGATTTTGTAGGTTCGAGGTGAATGAAGCAAAGTGATCCTCATAGTCGTTTTTTTTTGGCGAGATTCTAGAGGTCAGGAAATTCTTGTCATAATTTTCTATTTCCTTGTTTATCTTAGTCATATCAGAGATAGTTTCACCATCTGTTGTTTTAAGCTGGGTTATAATCTTTTTCTCATGATTCTGTTTTTCCAAATTGAAGAAGTATTTTGTTGGTTTCTCGCCATTCTCAATCCACCTGGTTTTTGATCTGAACATTGCCTCTTTTCCCTTTACAGAATAGATTTCAGTTAGTTCTTTTTTTAAGGTTTTTGAACTCCATTAGAATATCGTCATCTGAATTTTCATTATTACAAATTTCTTTATCTAGCTCTCCTAATTTGCATTGAATGATAATTTCGTGGTTTCTCAAATTGAGCTTTTTCTTTCTGGAATAGGCAATTGTCGTACTTCTTATTTCCATTTTCAGTAGTTCTCAGTATAACTGACGGTTCGCAACGTTTCGGTATTTTTCTTGAAGGGAGGGGTAGTTACTTTTAATTAAGTTAATATACTCATTGTCTTTTAGTAGCGTGTTATTAAATTTCCAATTAAAATGCTATGATTCTTGTATATATAGATCACTTTATGGAAAGTGCGCGCGTACAGTATTTACGCACTTGTTTTTGTATCAGAAAACTTGTGTGTAAATACCATACAAAGCACTTTCCATGTTGTAATTTGTTTATTTTATACTTACTGAGATTTTCACCCTCAACCAGATTTTCACCCTTCATTTGGCAGAACGTCTGAGGGCAAGCACTTTTTTGCTTCTTCAAAAACCGTCTAGTGTAAATATTTTTCATACAGAATGTTCACCTTGTCATGCAAGTCAACGCTTCAGCCATGTTTGATTTGTTTCCCTTGCCCTGCTTCCAGACATTTCTATGCTTGGTAAAACTCTTTTTCGTCGGTAATGCTTACAGTATATGTGCCTTCTTTAAAACTTTTCTTGCCTCTTCCTTCTGGGTGAGGAATTTGCAAAGCAAGCTAACCTTAACGTCTCGTCAGGTTTGTGCTTGAGTCTTTTTGTTTGTCTATTCCTGGATATACCTTTTACTGCGTTTATCTAGAGCGATAGACCTGTTCGAACTTTCCACCACTGTCTGTGGTTTATAGCTAATTTGTGAGAAAACTGGAGTAAACTTGTGGAAACTCTACAAACCTCTGTGCATGAAGATTGAAGAGGCGCCAACAGCAACGCGAACGCTTTGAGAACTGACTGTCTCA